CATCATGTTAACAAGCACTTTTCATATCCGTACATAAATTTATCAATGAGATTTTGTTTCCTTTTATTTTGTTTGGGAAATAGATAAATTTCCTTTTTCCTTGAAAACATAGGATAAAATTCATCAACTGTCGAATTGTTAGGACTTTGTACTTCTGCATATTTAATGATTCAGCAAGCAGATATGTCTTTCAGTGCTTAGAAAAAAAAAATCAATATATACAAAAAAAAGAAACAAAGTGAAAAATCTGCAATGTATCCGAACTGCATGGAAACTCAAGAATGGATTCATTGCAGAAAATAGTTTAAACTTATTCCGGATTGATATCTTTTTTCCTGACATTGATACATTTTTTTTTCTTCTTCATACATCTATATTACATGCAGCAAATCTTAATTGAGTACACGATGGTTGTCTTTATTCATACATATACCATAACTATCTTTCAACAAGCATTCTGAGATTATTGCATTAGCAATACTAGTCCCCTACCGGTGAAATCTGGTTCCCATTAAAAATTGAAAATGCCATAATTCCCTCAAAAATCAATGAAGCTGAACGAAATTCAAACTTGATCTATAACTCATCAAGGTAAAGTCACATACAAAAATTTAGCTCAATACCTGCAAGCGTTCAGAAAAAAAAAAAATTGCAGAAAACCCTGAAAGATTCAAAAGGTCATAATTTCGTCAAAAACCATTGAAGCGGAACGAAATGCAAACTTGATCTGTAACTCATCAAGATACACTGACATACCAAAAATCAGCTCAATATCTGCAAGCATTTAGAAAAAAGTGCGGAAAACCAAGTGGGACAGACTGACAGAGAGACAGAGGGATAGATTCAGTGGAAACCTATAGTCCCCTCCGGTTTCACAGGTAGGGGACTAATAAATGATACTTATATATACTTTTTCACAAGAGTATTTATTATTTCTCTTTTTATTGAACGAAGGAAAGCACATGACAAATTTCGAAAACATATTACATGTATAGATACTTCGTAACATCGTTAATTGTAAACCAAAATGTACAAAAATGAAATATACATTAATCTATTAATCCTTGGCTGTGTGATATTTCTCATGTCTCAGTATTCTCTAAATTGTCGTACTCCGAGCTTGCTGGAGGATTATTGTCTTCCGCTTCAGACATATCTTGACTCAAGTTGATCTTGTACATCTTTTTGGAACGTTCATAAATTATATGAACATTTGAAATCCCTGTGAAAATATTTGGAATGTCTACTCTTTCATAAGATCTCTCGGAAGTTTCCATTCTCTGTATTTCTTGATAATCGTTGATTATATTTTCCGATTGTTTTTTCGAATAATAATTTCTTGTTATGGCAAAAGAAATGAATGCTGATAAGAAGATTAAACATACTATGCTGATAACAAGGATTATCATTCCGTGTATTGAAATGCAAATCCATGCATTTTTTGACAGAGAGGAATTTACGGTATAGTTGGATAATGAAAACGTAGCATTCATGTACCATGACACTGAAACTAAAATTGTTAATGAATGACTTTTTTAGGGCGTGTTTCTCATTATTAAATCATGTAATTAATTTTTCAAATTATTTATTTTACCTGGGAAATTCATATCTGTACTTCCTCTGCTCGTCACATATGTACTATGAGCTGCAATTATATAAAGTGACCTTACCATCTTTGTATTTTAGTGATTATGAAAAAAGTGGGGGGGAGGTAAGAAATTTAATTTGATTTATATGTCATCATTCTTAAAGAAGGAGATGTCACATCCAAATCTAAAATCGATTTCAGAAATAGAACAGAAGCACTGTTCAATACAAAGTCTTCAAAAAAAAAAAAAAAAAAAAAAAAAAAAAAAAAAATGAATATTCACAGGGAACGTCACAGAGAAGCCCAATATATCCTACCTGCACTCAAAAACATTGAAATTTAAAGAAACATCTTAGATATTTCTAAAACTATCTAAAGTTAGAAAAGTAAATCATTTGATTACACATAGAATGAAATACAACCTTTTCATATCTGAGACACCAATATTAACCAGAGGGCCGAAGGCCCGAGAGCTGATAGTGGTCAAGAGCTGATACAGCGGGTGATTTGGAAAAGTGAATGCTTTATAATGTTTATTACAAACTTAGTAATAGTTTCATATACAAGGGATGTGATATTTTCCTAAATCAGCCCTGTATGATCCGTATCAGCCTTGGCTGAGTTTAGACAGCTATTGTGACGTCAGATAAATCGCATATGCAAAAAACCAATATCATGTTTTAGTATGAATGTTGAGAACATAGTATTACGTAGTTTACTTTGCCTACTTGGTTTACATTAGTATAAAAATGACATTTATTTTTATGAAACTACTTAGCTTGTATACATGTATACAAAGGAAAGGTAGACATGTGTAGAATTGTTTCTTTTTAAAATTTTGATCATATTTTTAGACGTTAAATTAAGTGATAAGCTTTACCTTATTTAATATGCACCATCACCCAGTGTAAAATTTGGTTTTGTTTTGTACATCGAAAAAAATCTCCTGGTAATTTCCCTTTACATATTCTTACTAGTGGATTTTCCTAGGGATTCCTTCCAGATTGTACCGGCGCAACATTCATATTCCCTGGAAAATGTACATATAAATAACATGTACGTACAAATGCAGAAAAATTAAAAACGCACTGGTTTACAATAACAAGTACTTTTTAAGTGAATTTTAAACAGGTTCAGGTTACAATGTATTTGCAACCGAGTATATCATTATGTCATTTTTAGGGCAATGAAGTATCTTATCTGCAGAGTTTCAAGCAAATGTATACCGGATATAATGATTTTTTTTTTCTGTTGAAAATTTAGATATTTGATATTATGCATGCTATAAATTCCGGGGTTTTTTTTGGTGCAGATGTTTTATACTGTTGAAAAGATAAAAAACAAATTAATGCCAGGAATACGCGTTATATTCATCGCACAATATCCATATCTAGAAGGAATGAAAATGGTCAAATATTCAAAATATACAAAATATAAATAATATACAAATGTCAGTTTTTAAGGAATCACCTGCTATCCCACGTTTCCAACTATCACTGATGCCCTGGCTTACTCTACTAACTAGAGAGTGATTCCTTATATTTCCATTTCATTGCGAAATAAATTTGTAAATTTAGATTTTAAAAATGTAGACTAAAAGATTTACATTACACGAGGCCTCACAGGTCAAGTTCTATAGTCACCGCCCATTGACGTCAAACAAAAAGACAGCCGCACGAGATTTACATGCATATTAGGCCTCCTTAGCGTCAGACACAAAGACAGCCGCACGAGAATTACATGCATATTAGGCCTTCTTAGCTCCTGACCTTTCGCTTGACGAAATTTACATTCCGGTAGAATGATTAAGAAATTAACTCAACTAACTTTCAAACAGATATCACAGAGAAAACAAATAGAAATGGAAATATTATATAAACAATGACCTTCCAAACATTTGTCATTCTGCAGATCACGCAAATTTAAATTTATCACAAATGATTTTCATAAGGAAATCTTATTCATTATTTTAATGCAAACAATTTCAGCAAACCTTGCGGGACAAAATTTATATACTTTATATGGCCTTTTAACTGGGCAATTGTCTGAGAGAATGATAGTCATTTATTCCATTATATGCTTACGCTTCTCATCAGTTGTTTTATTAATCTTGACGTAAAAAAATGTTAAATACTTTCCACCTAAACTTTTTCCAAATTTAATGATACAAGAATAGTGGTTACAATTTAATCAGCGTACACAATCTAAAAATATTCACCCTGTTACATGTAAATCATATTTTTGTGTGGTTTTATTTTAAAGTTTTAACTTATTAAAATCAGGGGAAAACACATTATCTGTGCATGGTCCCCTTTGACAGTCTACTTCACGTGCTCCTAAAACGAATACTAAAGCAATCACCTTCGTTTGTCAAAGACTAAGCTTTTTGTCGAGCAAAAAAAAAAAAAAAAAAAAAAAAAAAAAAAAAAAAAAAAAATCGCTTAAAGATGAGAAATTCCCTTCATTTCAAACATTAATTTTCCTTCTGTAATTGAAAAAAAGTTTATTTAGTAGGAGTTTTTCCTTAACTTCCTGCAAAATATTATTTCTTTGAACAGGAAATATTTAAGCGAGAATTTTTAGTATAAAATATGTAACATTATGCAGAATCGTGAAGTTGAAAATATTTTGACGTTCCATTTATACGGCAGAGGTCTTAGGAAGAGAGAAAATGGAGGGGTCCTGAAAGTTATTTTAAAATTTAACTTTATAAAAAAAACAATCTATAATTATGCTTATACTGATTTTTCCACAATTCCTTTAGAAAAATTAGCAACGCTTAAGATTTCAGAGAAAAAAATATTGAAAATATGTATAGAAGTCATGTCGGCAATTTAGCCCAATGCAAACCCCTACGAAAGATTTTTTTTAATTAACTTTTTTTTTTTTGGTCATTTGATTTTTGTCCTTGAGGTGTTTTTGACTGGAATCAAACACCTTCACCCCGGAATCTTAACCCGTTTATGTTTTTAATCCTATTTCAAAAATTTTCGAACATGCTCTTTTAAGAATAAGTGAAATGCGTTTTAGAACTAAATTTGTGTTTGTGGCTTATCGAAACACATTAAAACATTTCTCACAACCATCATGTATTCTCTTGTCAAATTGTACAAAAGTAAGATGAATGATATGATGTTAATTTTTATTATTTATTTATTATTTGTTATTATTTTTATTGTATAACACTGCCATGTTAAATTTTTGAAAGGCACAAAGAACAGTTTATCAATAAAAATCATGCATTTAAATAAAATATCACATAAAAAATATTCATAATAGCTTGGAACTTAGGAGAATGTATACAAGTGCATAATAATATAACGAAGAGATAAAACTGTTACAAAATCAAAGACTATTTTTATATGCAATGTCACAACTAAGTCAAAACGAAAGGACACAGAGTAAAATAAAAATGGCGACCGCAAAAGGAGATTTGGATATGGAAGCTATGGAGACCGAGTTCTTAGGACTTCAAGTTAATCCAAAGGATTGCCAAAGTCAGGATATTTGTATATCACCATCTCAAGTTAAGAACAAAGCCGGAGGTTATGTTTACAAAACGGATCCAGAGACGCAGTTAATCAGGTTTTTATTACTAGGGTCTTCAAGGCTGTTTTATCAAACCGAAAGTTGGGAATTAACTTTACAAGATGCCTCTTGTATTTCAATGTAAGTTTTCTTGAAGGAAACATTCAAGCTATAATAAAAAGAATATTTCAAAAATACCCGGTACAATAGAAACAAAAAACTTATCTTTGACGTACACATGGTATGCTAACGTGTAATGTTTCTGTGTTTAAAGTACACATTGTTATTTTTAAGACATACCTTATGCTTCTTTTTTTCTAGATTAATTGAAGAAGGCTCTGGTGAAAAGGTCGTTCAAATTATCAAAGAATTCTCCGAAAAAGGCCGTGCTTACAGACAGGACACTGTCTTGTTCGCATTAGCAGTTTGTTGCAAATCTAATGACTCCGAAACAAAATGTGCTGGGTACAGTGCATTACTATCTGTGTGTCGGATTCCAACTCATCTTTTTCTCTTTATTGATTATTGCAAGAAAATTAGCAATGAAAATAACTTTTCGAAGGGATGGGGGAGACAACATCGCAAGGCGGTAAGCAACTGGTATATCGATTTTGGAATGGAGAAACCCAAATTGATGCTTTTGGCTCAATATTTGACAAAATACAAAAAGAGATGCGGATGGACTCATAGAGATATAATTCGGCTAGCACATCCCAAAATAAGCTAGGCAAATCCCGATTTAAAATATATTATACTGGTAGCAGTACGTGGAAAATCTGCTGCTGATTCTAGTGATTTTATGAAAAGTGAAAGAAAGAAACCGAATTTTTGTACTTCCTCTCTTGCAGATATCGTTGAATATTTAGACAAAGTCGAAGATGCAAAAAAATCGAAAAACCTGAAAATTATTGTGGAGCTCATATTAAAGTACAAACTAGTTCGTGAGCATATTCCAACTTGTTTTCTGAATGAGAAAGATGTCTGGAAAGCTCTCATTAAACATATGCCAATGACGGCAATGATGAGAAATCTGGGAAAGATGTCCAGCTTAAACCTTTTTCGAACGAAAGCGGAGGCCCTTAATGAAATATCATTTGAAGAGCAAATAGTAACAAACAAACTGAAAAACAGAGAACTTATTCACAAAGCAAAGATCCACCCGTACTCTTATTTAGTGGCACTTAGTAAGTACAGACAAGGAATGGCAAAGAATGTAAATTTGAGTTGGCCAGTTTGTCCTCATATTGCTGATGCTCTGGAAGAAGGATTCTACCTTTCTTTTTTGAACATAACGCCGACGAAAAAGCATTTTCTACTGGCTCTTGATGTCACATGTGATACGCATTTGCCCGAGAACGTTTGTGAGGTTGACGCACATCATCTTTCGGCACTTGATGCTGCTATCTTCATGATGGTCCAAAACGCAAGAACAGAGCCATTTTGTGAGACAATTCTATTCTCAAATGATGAAAATATCTCTATTTCTGTCAATCCGAGTGAATCATTTCATGATCTTAAACGCAAAGTACGTGAAAAAATTAGCAATCCTAGGTCTCCAAAGTCTGATGTTTCACTTCCTTTCAAATATGCTTTAGAAAGAAGAAAAATTGTTGATGTCTTTGTGATTTTTACAAACGTGGATAAATCTCTAGGCAACGTCCATCCTACACAAGCAATGAAATTTTATAAAGAATCATCGGGGAAGAAAGATACAAGGCTTATCGTCTGTGAGATGGCATCTTCCATCCATTCTGTTGGGGATATCGAAGATCATTTTACATTGACAGTGTCAGGCTTTGATTCTCATGTACCAAAATTGATTAATGACTTTGCCCTAAAAATTATTTGAATATAATTTTAAGATATATATATATATATATATATATATATATATATATATATATATATATATATATATATATATATATATATATATATATATATATATATATATATATCATCTTCGCTAGCCAAGGGTTTCTGATACGCTACTCTCCTCATAAACCCTTGGCATACGTTGTTAAAAAAAAGTTGGGATTTTTTTCTCAAGTTGTGATTGGAGTTGATCGACATCGTTCGACCAATCAGCAATTTTTTTTTTTTTTTTTTTTTTTTTTTTTTGTTGTTGTTGTTGTTGTTGTTTTTTTTTTTTTTTTTAATTTTTTTTTTTGTAAATGACGATATTTGCGTTCGGGATATATCTTGACTTTTTAATATCGGGAATGAAAAACGCAAGTAAACAACGATCCGTAAGATAACATTCCATTCTATGAATAGCTATATGGTGTCATCCAATATCTTAAGCTACGTGCAAAATAAGTGATTAGGAATCTATACTGAAGATGTTGATTTGCATTTTAATACCGATTCTCTGTAATCACTTAAACTTCTTTGCCACGCATGGTTACCGATTTTGATGAAACTTTGCCCATTATTACAACTTGACACCAGAAACATATATCAAATAAAATTTCGTTGCTATGTGTCTTGGTTGCCATGGTAACAGCCAGAAAAGTTGAAAAAATTGAGATTTTCAGCTACTTTGAATCTTTATTACGCCTTAATAAAGACAAAGAAAAACAAACAAAGCATTCTCCCAAAAACATGACACCTTGTTTCCACTTATGCTATAAAGAAACTATTTAGAATTTATCTCTTAGTAAGTGGTAACCATGGGTACATTTGGAATACATTTTAGATGCTGAAAAATGCTGAAAAACGCTCAATATTCACAAATGATAGATGTTACATGATCAAACTCAATCAACAACTTAAGAAAAACAATAAAAAATATTTGACTTTAAGTAATTAGGTATTGGCAATATTATTCTAAAAATAACTTTCATGGTTGTCATGGTAACACAGTGTAACCGTGCAAAATCTGTTGCTATATTTGGGTTAATGCTACTATCTCGAGGAAAAACAATAAAATTCATGACTGGCACATATACATCCTTAGGACCTTGCAACACCAACAACATAAGAAAAATTTGGATTAATTGTTACTTTGTAGTGTAACCATGGAAACAACGTACCAGTTGTTAAAAGTGATATTTTTTTGCTGCTTTAGGAACTTACTTAGCTTTTAATCAAGAAACATATTATTTGACTCACCTTGAATAGTTCTTATCTGGTAGAACTAAAGTTGAATATCATATATTGATAAAGTTTGTTGAAAAATACAACACTGTTGCTATGGTTACCAAGAAGGGAAAATGTTCGATTTTGTTAATTTTATATCAATATTAAACCCTAAGTGCCAGCTTTTTGCATCCAGTTAGAGATTGGGTGGTAGTCAAAATTGAAAGTCAGGTTAGTTGTTCATATATATCAATCATAAAAGTTTTGGGAATCCACATACAAGGGTACGTATCCAAGGAAACAGAATATTTTTCAGATTTTTATGCATTTTTTTTCGGCTTATTTCCATAGCAACGCTCTTTTTAAAGAATTGAATTTGAATTTTTTGAAATGTGAAAATTAGGGTCACACCAACGCCTTTAAAAATTGATCATCAGTTATATAGAAATATGCTTTTTAAAAAGATAGGATAAGATTAAAACACTAAGAGAGTAAATTTAAAACCCCTTTGTGGTGTTAAAACCATGGCAACCATTGCCAACCTTTAAGAAACATCATATTTCCTCCTTGGTGTATGTTACTAGGATCTCTTGTCTATTATTTGCTTGCATTTCTACCTATAATTGTTTGTATTCTTAAGTGTATGGCTTTATAAAATTAAATGAACAAAATTATTACTTTTGAATACTTTGTTTCCATAGTAACATATGAAATAGTTGATTTACCAAACATGTTTATCATGCATTTAAGACATCAGGCCTTAAACTTTCAGATACAGTCATTGCCACTTGTTTGCTTTGCTGCAAACGTTAACTGTGGGACTCTGAACATGTTGAAAAATGCCATTTTTCAAACCTTAGGACATGTTGCTATGGTAACCATGACACGTAGCAACCAATTTTTGCCTGATTTGAGTTTACGGTATCAAAGACTTTTATCATAGAGAGTTTGGAGAAATTCTGAGACTATGCGTGCCACAGCTCCTATATAAAAGTTCAAGTCATTACAGGGAATGGCTCTTAACATGTTTAAACAACAAATTAACATGGCGCAATACCTTCTTGTAAATTATTCTTTAAAAATATTATTTTTTTAAATACATTTTTTATTTCTGTCGATGACGCAATCTGTGCGTACCTGGTAAGAATCGTGATCACGTGACGAAAACAATTCCGTCTTTTGTCAGCACCGTATGCCAAGGGTTTATGAGGAGAGAAGCGTATTAGAAACCCTTGGCTAGCGAAGATGATATATATATATATATATATATATATATATATATATATATATATATATATATATATATATATATATATATATATATATATATATATATATACTTGTACGAAATCAAGAAAGCTGTTTGAGAAATAAAAATGACAGTTACAAATTTTAAGCTTATTTATTTTAAAGAATTTGATGGACATGGGTATCATTGTTCGCAGATTAGCATTGTAACTCATCGGTCCGCAGGTACAAAAACCAAGTAAAATTATTGGTCCTGTACTAGATTTGTCTGATTGTTTGGGATCGTATAAAATATAAATTAAATCCATCTAAGGTTTATCTTCAAGTGCCGATCAACATTTGCATACTCATTTCTTAATGCATGTATTCATATTTTCTTTTAAATTTCAATTTAAAGCTTTTTATCTTTCTGCTTATCTTTCTTATTTGACTAAATTGAAATAAATTAGAAATACAAAACCGTAAAGATGAGTAAAGTAGTAATACATTTTGTGTATTCTGAAACATGTGGTGTGTGATGTGGTATTCGGCGTATACATGTATATACGAGGGTTGATAAAAAAAAATCGTGGAATATCTTTCTAAAATTTTATAATTTTATTATGATGTCATTCTAGCAGACAAAAGACATATCTATAAAATAGAGCTGTTATGCAACAATAATGGAAAATTTCTCCTCATTTGAATAACATTTAAGCTCATACGAGCTTTCTTAATATAGACAGCTGTAAAATTGGGGGAGGGGGGGGGGCGAGATGTTAACATAACGTCAAGCTAGGTATGTCACGGGGGGGGGGGGAGATGTTAACATAACGTCACGGGGGGGGGGGGGGCGAGATGTTAACATAACGTCAAGCTAGGTATGTCACGTCACGTTCTAGGAGTTTCACCCTCAAGTTCAAATCGACTTTTCTATCAATAATATTCCATCCACCTGTATCAATTGCCAAATGATGGTAATATGTTTGTAGTTTTGTAAGTGTAAATCTTTTGGAAAATTCAGCAAATAAATTTCAAATCCAAAGTTTGTATAATTGATACATGTTGGTGAACTATCAACAATACTTTTCCATTCTTGTTTAAATTGCTTTTTCAGGGTTTCTTTAATAATTGACTTAATCCAGTCAAAGCTATGAAATGTTTGACTTTTTCATATATAAGACAATCCACAAGCTTAAGAATTAAGAATATCTTGTACAGCCATGCATAAAATATCCATGGGTTACAAAAATTCATCTGTATAACACCTATAAAAATATGAATAATTCACATTTGTGAGTTTATTTATATGGGCTGTTAAAATTTCTGCCCAGTACATAACCAAATAACCAATTTTAATTTTATAAATATTGACAGTGGGTATCTACCTGTTTCTCCATACAACATGCAATTTGGGTACTAGATTTAAGGTTAAAAATAAATTTCAGAAATTTTAACTGTACTTTTTCTAATATGTCTTTATTCTCATATCCCCAGACTTCACAAGAATAAAGTAAAATTGGGTTGATGACTTTATTGAAAAAGTCTACCTGACAATTAATTGGTAAATTAAAATAGCGAATTTTACGTAAAACTCCAATGAAGACATGAGTTTGGACCAAACTTGTCACCAAGCATCCTTGGGTGCAGGGGTTTCAAGTTTATTCAAATGAAGGACCACACCCTCTTTCAAGGGGAAATAATTGAGAGTTGGTGAAAATTTAGTGTCATCTTTTAAAAATCTTTTCCTCAAGAACCATTGGGCCAGAAAAGTCGAAACTTATGTGAAACCTTATTTACATAGAGTTGATTTTAGTTTGTTCAAATCATGACCCCCGGGAGAAAGGGTGGGGCTGCAATAGGGGATCAAAGTTTAACTTATGAATATATAGGAGGAAAATTTACTATCTTCTGAAGAACAACAAATCCATGATTAGTCATATTGGTGTGGAATCATCCCCAGGTTGTTTAGTTTCAAGTTAGTTCAAATCTTGACCCTTGGGGGGGGGGGGGTAGGGGGGGTCTCAATGGGTGATCAAAGTTTTACATAGGAATATATAGAAGATATCTTTATTGATGTGGAATGACCCCCCCCCCTTCCAGGGTAGGGTGGAAGATCTGTTTTCTAGGAAAGCAAAACCATGATTAGCCATATGAATACGGAAACATCCTCAGAGAGTTTAGATTCAATTTCATTCGAAAACATGGCACCTGGGGATAGGATGTGGCTAGAAGAGGCGATCAAACTTTATATATGAATCTATATGAGAAGTCATCTGCTGATGAAGAATAGCAGGGCCATATTGACTCAGGTGAGCGTTGTGGCCCATGGCCCTCTTGTTTATATAAACGTACACCTTACATACAGAATATACTCCTGTCTATTATAGGAATAATGTGTCGGACCTCTAAGCTCTGATAATTCAGCGTGTGCACATGTGTCAAAGGTGATTCAAAAATCAAGGAATATAGGCAGTAAACGTATAAAAAAAAAAAAAAAAAAAAAAAAAAAAAAAAACTGTCGAGGCCATGTATGACAAA